GGCCCCCCCCCCCCCCCAAATTGGAGTCCTGTGGCAGTATTGGGCAGCAAAGGTTCCCAGGACACATCGAGGGCTGCTTTGGAAACACTTTCTCAGCTTGCTACAGGAACTGCTTGTGAAGTTCTTGGCTGGGGAGGGGGCGGGGATTCTTTTCTTTCTTTTTTTAACTTTGTGCTTGTTATGTTGGAGTTTGTACTTCAGGGCTACTCCACCGCCTGCCAGGGTTGTGTTCAATAGGCTGCTTCATTCTCCCCCCACCCCCAAAGATGATGGTGCAATCAAAAAGAAACAGTTTAATTTTATATTTTGGCTGTTATTTGCGGAATCGACTATTATTGGGTCATATTTTCACTTTTACCTACCATTTAAAACAGTAAGAGTCTTATTCATTTCTTACACTTCTATGTGGCCTTTCCTCCAGAGAGCAGAGTAATGCTTGCCCCCTCCTTGTTTTATCTTCACCCCAACAGCTGTGATGTAGGTTATATAGCGGGATCCTTGGAGACAAAGCCAGCCCTACCATTAGATAGAGTTAGCCCTCTCAGGAAGCAGATTTGGGTTTTCATGAAAAGGTAGCAAATTCTTAGTTATTACTGTATTTGTCAGTTATTATTTTTCACCGCTGGGGTGGGGAGAGGGATTTGGGATCTTCTACTTCATTTGCCAAAATAACTTGGGAGACTTTGCCTACTCTTTGCTTCGATTTGGTTGAGTGGAGATACCATTTGTGATTCGGGGGGTGGGTGGTGGTGGTCGGGGCGAGGGCAGCCCCTCTTTCGCCGCCCTCTCGAGTCTCAAGGAGGGGCCGTCGGGGAGCGGGGTGGTGGCGGCGGCTGCCTTCCCCACTTAGCCTCTTCCCCCCCTTGCCGCTCCCGCTCCCCTTTTTCTTTGTTAGGCGGCGCGCCGTTTCTCCCCTTCGCCGGCGCCCGCCTCTGGCCGCCCAGCCCCCTTTCTGCCCGGGTGGGGAGTGGCGCTCCCCTCCCACACCCGACGACACGACACGGAACTCTGAACCACCTTTCCGGGGTGGCGGCGGGAAGGAGGGAGGTAGGGACGGGGAGAAGAGAGAGAGAGTTGCCAATGTCCGGCATAACTTTTCCCTCTTATCTCTTGCCTCCGCTCCCTTCTCTTCCGGGGCTGAGTTGCGGGACTGAGGAATATCATACTAAGCCAGCAAACGAACACGCGCACAAACAAGCGCACGAATTGCAACCCAGTTTTACACCTCGTTCTTTCGGCCGGCCAGTTCTCTCGTGAGAGGTTTCCCAGCCGCCGCGCTGCCTTATATGTGTGTGTGTTTTCCCCCCCGTCCCCTGATTTTTTGGGCTGCTGTTTGCAAGCCCCAAGCGGCATCTAGAGGAGGAGGAGGAGGAGGGGAGGGCGGAGCCAGGATGAGTAAGGGGTCTTTCGCCACCCCCGTCCCCTCCCCTCCCCTCGGGGACCAGGGCTCGAGGCTGCGGCGGGGGATGTGGTTCCTAGGTCAGCGGGACGCGGCCGCCGCCTCCGACGACTAGGCAGGAGCGAGCGAGGGCAGCAGTTTCGGCGCCCAGCGATGGAGAACGTCGAGCTCCGAGGCGGCCAGGAGAGATTTCCGGCCAAAGATTCGAGGCTGGATCCGGCCTTTTTGGACCAGGGGCACCCCCGGCCCCCGCAGCTGCTGGCGGGAGGGGAGCCGAGAGGAGCGGACCCGTACAAACGGGTGGAAGTGCAGTTGACTGGCGGCGCTCCCTGGGGTTTCACGTTGAAAGGAGGAAGGGAACACGGGGAGCCTCTCATCATCACGAAGGTAGGACACGGGGTTGCTCCTGCACGCGTGCCTGGAAGGGGGAGGATCGTGTTATCAGAGTGGGGAGGGGTACCCTGGTGATTAGGGACAGGTGGGATTTTTTTTATATTTAACCCTCTTTTATGTTGCTGCGGCAGCTCCACGCTGCGATACCAAGGGTTTCGGGAAAGNGTCCTGTGGCAGTATTGGGCAGCAAAGGTTCCCAGGACACATCGAGGGCTGCTTTGGAAACACTTTCTCAGCTTGCTACAGGAACTGCTTGTGAAGTTCTTGGCTGGGGAGGGGGCGGGGATTCTTTTCTTTCTTTTTTTAACTTTGTGCTTGTTATGTTGGAGTTTGTACTTCAGGGCTACTCCACCGCCTGCCAGGGTTGTGTTCAATAGGCTGCTTCATTCTCCCCCCACCCCCAAAGATGATGGTGCAATCAAAAAGAAACAGTTTAATTTTATATTTTGGCTGTTATTTGCGGAATCGACTATTATTGGGTCATATTTTCACTTTTACCTACCATTTAAAACAGTAAGAGTCTTATTCATTTCTTACACTTCTATGTGGCCTTTCCTCCAGAGAGCAGAGTAATGCTTGCCCCCTCCTTGTTTTATCTTCACCCCAACAGCTGTGATGTAGGTTATATAGCGGGATCCTTGGAGACAAAGCCAGCCCTACCATTAGATAGAGTTAGCCCTCTCAGGAAGCAGATTTGGGTTTTCATGAAAAGGTAGCAAATTCTTAGTTATTACTGTATTTGTCAGTTATTATTTTTCACCGCTGGGGTGGGGAGAGGGATTTGGGATCTTCTACTTCATTTGCCAAAATAACTTGGGAGACTTTGCCTACTCTTTGCTTCGATTTGGTTGAGTGGAGATACCATTTGTGATTCTGTCTCAGCTGGCAAAATGTCTGCTCTTGGGTAGTGACTGGCCCAGTATCACCCTTCAAACGGTGCGGCTGAGTTCACTTCTGAACCTGGCTTTTGCCAATCCTTGTTTCATATTCCTGACGTTACACTGCCCTGCTTGTCTCTCTGATGTACAACTGGGATAACCTACTGCAGTCCCTTAAGTTTCAGACTAACTTCAGTGATTGTTTTATGCATGGATAGAAGCTTTAGGTCATAATCTTACAAATACGAATGTTAAAGTAAGCTCCATTCAGTAGCAAGGTTTACTTCTGAGTAAACATGTACAGGCATGCACTGTTAGGAGTTCCTGTGAATGAAAGTAACCTGAAACAATATTCCAGGTTAGTTTATCTGCAACCACACAGTTAACCAAGTTGGACTACGCATAGTATAAGCAGCCATTACAGTGTCTGGTGGTTGGGGAGACCACATATTTTGCTACTTGTTGACCACTATTTTGATCATATGTATAGAAGGGTAGTTTAAATGTGTTGCAGGAAATTACTAAACAGACTTTGTTTGTTCAGAGTTCCTGTATGGCCAGACAATAATGTTCTATTAAGATCGGCCATTTATTCCTTGGAGAAGAGGTATGGGATCTTCCTCTTTCACCCTACAAAACAACCTCTCTCTTCACTAGCATTTCTTCTGTCTTTGTTGTGCACCTGTGCAGAGTAAGACTGTAGGCAGTACTCTAGACTGCACGTTCAATATCCTGAACCTTCCTAGTATTGTGAGCCTCTTTCTTAATTAAGTAAAGAATGCGGGAAAAGTTGGAGCTTTGTATAAATTTTTGCTTGTATTTTTGGTTGCTTATTTTGTTGCAGGAATTAAACATTCGGATTATATTGTTGTGTTTGGTCACACAAGAAAAATCCACCTCCCTTTCCCAGCTCCCAGGAGGTATGCGCAAGGGCATGAACTATAGCAGGCTATAAGAGTGAGTCACTACCACTTGCAGCCTAATAAAATACCATACTACTATAAGGAAGATTTTTTTGGCTTAACTCCTCCTCTTCCCACTATCTTTCAGAGGGGTGTGTGTCTGTGTGCGTACGTGTCAGTCTTATGGCAGTATTGGGCAGAAAATGTGTCTGAATCTGCTGGGAGATACTTGTGTGATTTGAAGTAGGTCCTGCAAGAGTGTTTTGGCAGGGCTGGGCTAAGATCTTTTGCTGCCTGAGACGAAAGGTGCTCCCTTGCATTTTGTGTACAGAAGTAATGGACTTGCAGTTGGACTTCTGGTCTGGGGAGGGAAAAACCTCTTCCACCACCTACCTGAAAGCAGTGGACCAGTGTAGGAAGGGCAAAGCAAGCTGTCTGAGGCACACTGTGCCTTCCAAGTCAGGGAAGATCATGCAGTTCTCCTCAGCACATGCTGCTCTAGGCGGTTGCTTTACTGCCTGGTTGCAAACTGAGCCCTAAATCCTACCTTTCAGTAGTAATTAGCAGTGCAATAGTTTTAAATAACAATAGATTTTTACCATGGTTGGCATTAGGCTAACCCTTTATCTCTAACTCTTCACACATACCTCTAAACTTTTAGTATCAATTGAGTGGTTTTATCTAGTATGTTTTGTGTTGAAGGTATCACTGATCAGCAGTAACCTATGTTTGTGTGTCATTGTAAGTTTCTGGAGTGTAGTGGTGACCCTGAGCCACTCTGTTGGGCCTGGTTCCTCTCCCCACACTTCGCTCTCTAAGCTACTCTGTGGCAACAAACTCCAGATGGTAGGCCTCGTAAGGGTTTGGTGAATAACTGAGTAACTTCTACAGGACTGAAATCTGTCCACTCCTCTCTTGCACTGTTCACCTTACTCTTCAATGTCTATTGCTCAGATTACATGTTTTTCATCTGCTCACCAAACTTTTCTGCTAATCCAGGCAATATGTGGGTGCGATGTACTGTATTTTTACCCAGAAATATTATGGGTAGTATAAGAAATATGTAAGTTCTTCTTCACATCAAAAGCCATCAATCGGCTAGCTGTCCTTGTGCTTGAGATTATAAGAACAAATGGGAGCTAGTTCCAGATGGAATTACATTATAAATGCCGAACAGAAGCTTAAGTTTTATATTCGCTGTGATTGTTGATTTTTTTTAAATGCCTGGCATGCCTAGAAGCATATTACTGCATTGCCATTTTTCCGAAGAACATAGGGATGAATCCAAACTAAATTTGATCCAAACAATCTGAATCAGTGGGACTTATGGCCTGACTTAATGCTGATTTCATTGGGATCTAAGAACAACTAGATTGGATTGCAATCCTATTTCCATTTATTCAGAGCAAACATCACTGAACTTGATGTGTAAAGGAGTGGAAAGGATAGCACTGTAATCAGTACCAGTTCAGCTCTCTGTATTGACTGTCATGTATCTAGGAAGATTTTGCACTTTTTCTTATCCAAGTATTTGCATACATAAAAAAGAGCATAATATGGTTTTATACATATTTATTTTTGGTGGTTTGCAGGCATTCTGTCTGCCTCTAGTTTTGAAAATGGCTGTTTCAACCAAGTTACCTTTTGCCTATAGCAACCTTGCAAATATTCATGTTCATAATTGCAAGTTTTGCATCATGAGGAGTTAGTGGTAAAAATGAAAGACAGACAATTCTGGAATATTGGCAGAGCTTTTTAATTCTTTGTTGGCGAGGGCCTGTAGAACAACAAATCCCACTCTTGTAATAACAAGGTAGCATTTCTTTCCTGTAGGAAGTATATGTTCTCTTGTTTCCCTAATAATTGTTTGCTAAAAGAAGTTCCTGCTATGAAATAAGTAGACAGATTCTTGCAACAAAATATTAGAATATGCTTGACCCATATATCAGGCTACTCCTTGCGAGGCCCTGACCAGCCTAAAGTGGTTGTAGTTCCAGTCATTCATTTTCATGGAGAACAGAAGTAGTGGAACGAACACGTCTTATTCCTTTGTCTCAAGCCTTCTGCTGTGTTGAAAAGATCAGGTCATAGGTGATAGGAAATATGCTTGCCTGAGGCCCTGGAGAGCCAATGTTGGTCAAAGGAGACAATATTGAGAAAGATGGTCAGAACAGTCTTGCATGATACGGTTCTTGAAGCTGCCATTGCTAGATTCAGCATTTTCAAGATAAATAACGATGGGTTGGCGTTAGGGGGCAGAAAAGGGAAATCTAGAAATTCCTACACATTGGTATACCTGGAGCTACAACCTCTGATCAGGGTAATTGGGGATTTGTACGGTTGTAGTATGAAAAGTAACTTTTCCAGGCTCTTGGTGTACCTAAGGAGTAACTTATACAGAGATCACAGTCGTGTGTGTGTGATTTTTTAAAAAATACTGTTATTTTGCTTATGAGTCTGTGGATATGTTTGTAGGGAATGACAGTGAGGGAAAAGTGGGGGGGGGAGCTTGTTTATGATCTGTATCTGACTGCAGTGCCCACTTCTGTAAATTTTTGCCTAGTACTGTATATTAAAAGATAGCAAAAGATGTTAAGTCTGAAAAGTCTGGAATGCAAAAAAACCCCAAGTACTTGGTGTGAAAGCTACATTTAGTCTCAAACTGTTTAAATCTTAGAAGGAAGAAAACCATATGTTTTGCCAGTGGAATGCTAGAGGCAGAAAACACAGTGGCTTGATGGAAGGTCAAGCCAGAGTTACACTGCTAAAAGCCTGTGCTGATAGGGTAGTAGCAGAACCCACAACTGAGTGACCCAGCTAGCTCATTTTTGTTGTTTTATGTAGTCACAGCATTTTGGGGCACTTGGTTTTCAGCTGCAGGGAAGAAAGATGTATTCATTGTTTGGTGTTCTCAAATATGATGTCATTTGAGTTTGCATGTCTGTTGTGGCTGTGTCACATTGTCATACTGAGTATCCTGGTTTTTACTTTTGTTTTCAGGATAATAACTGTTCCCTCCTCAGATGGCATACCCACTACTGTTGTGACTCCAGTGTATTGTAGCTGTCAAGGTCACCAGATGGATATTATGTGTGATGGGTGACGCAAATACCTTTGAAGTTGCCAGCCCAGTTCTCTTACTTTCAAAAGCTGTGTTTTGAAACAGCACAAGAAGCAGGGCTGGCCAATTTTTCTACTGGTGAGAGTGGTGCTC